ATGGCAATAATCAAAAGCGGGATGATACTTAGTAAGGGTAGATATTATTGAATACAAAAGTTTATGATTTTATAATGACGAGGATAACGATGATAATGGATGGAGTAAGTGGCAATGATAATGATTATGACTGTGGCAGTAACAGTATTTTGGCAATTGAAACACAACGTTGTTTCTGTTGTTATAACCATTGCCTTTATAACTAGTAGCATCAGTAGTATTATCATGGAGATTATTACCTGCATTGTAATATCATTACTGATTTTATTTCCATCGTTATCATCACCACCAATCAAACTTTTCATTCTGATTCTCACGCCATTATCTTTACGGTAATACCAAAATTGAGCGGGTTGAGGCAGTTGAAGGTGATAAAAGAGGTGAAGAATGGAGTTGAGTGGGGATAGGGGCGGGGTTTAGGGGGAAAGGGGCGGGGTTTGGGGGGGGAATGAAGCAAGGTTAGAGGTGAAAAAAGTATGGAGTTTAGGGGAGAGAAAAGGGTAGTGGTGCATGGTTCATCAGACAGAGGGAATAGAAGGGGGGAAAAGGAACTTTTTTTTAGAGAGAGAGAGAAAGGAGACAGAGTTGAAGGGGAGATATTGGGCGTGGTTGAGAGAGAGAAAAGGAGGGGGGGTGGAGCTGGTGGTGGAGAAAGAGGGTGCTGAGAATGTAGGAAAGTAGGTAGGGGGAATTGAATAAAGAGAAAGCACTCGCCGGATCGCCACCTTAAAAATGCAAGTAACTGAACAGTAGGCGGGCATAGATAGAGAGACAGAGAGTTGACGTATATGTATAAGGAAACGCCGATATAGATTTTGCTATATTGTCATAAAAATACTTCATCATTTCAGTGGTTAACTGTATCAAAATCATAGAATATGGTCCGTTTGTTAGGGGGTTTATCATAGAAAATATATCCTTGATAAGATGGGTAACTATTATACTAACACATGTAGGCTTCGTTTAAGCTTTCCTGTAAATGCATAAGTAGTCGTAGCCTGTTTCTCTCAGAATCTTTGGGCAAAAACGAAACAAAATCAACAAAATAAAATGGTATTAAAACATTAATGGCTGATCCATACCAGGATCTTGATAGGATTTTCTTCAAATACCTTGTCCTAAGTGGAAATGGGGATAATGATAGTCTTTAAATGATAACAACGATGATACTATTCTTGTGTATATCTTACTCTTGCGTTGGCGCAATGGAGTGAAGTCACTATGACCATATCTATCATTTCGATTCTTATGTAGTCGTTTCAGAAAGCATTTTCAAAAACATCAGAAATATAGATACAATCTAGTAAATTGCATTCATTATACACAAATCACTTTAAATGTTTATTCTCTATGTTCAGTTGATGTTACAACTGTCATAAAAACTTGGTGATGAAGACTTTCTTAATGGCAATTTTGACATGAAATATTCTTCATTTTTTGAGATGGAAACGAGGAAAAAAATATATGCATACATACATATATATATATATATATGTGTGTGTGTGTGTGTGTGTGTGTGTGTGTGTGTGTGTGTGTGTGTGTGTGTGTGTGTGTGTGTGTGTGTGTGTGTGTATACCGTACAAAACAAGCTCCTGGAGTATGTGAGGAAATGAAGCACAATCCTTTATTGGTGGCATTAGCATTAAGCAAATTCTTGTCAAGATGTATGTCCCGTTCCCAATGTTGACATCATCTTCGACCACCTTTGGCCTTCAAAGAAATGGGGATACTGACTTTCTAAATAAGCTTTTGTATATTCTGCCTTACATAATAAAAACTGTTTTGATAAACAAGTCACTTTGATAAGGAATCATAATCAAAATAAGGATTATTTGAAAACACATAGTGTCTAATATTGGTTCTTAACCTTTTTAGACTCATGGTCCCCTCTAAGAATCTAATCAAAGTTATCCTTCCCCAGAAATATTTACATAAACACCATGTTGCATGCAGTGTGCATAATGTTTATCGAGATCTCAAACACATATGATATACACACGCTATTATTAACTTTTAAAGTAAACAATAAAAAAAATGCCATAAGTAACGTTAATTTTCATCTCTGAAAATTCAACCATAGACCCCAGGTTTCTTAACCTATAGACTCAATTAAAGTAACAATTATTTATCAAGAAGTAGCCTTTTTATGATGCGAGTTACTACTGTAATCAGTAAACCAATCTACGAAGTGAAACCAATGAAAATGTTGAAGTAGCGAGATAAACATCTTGACTGCTTCCTGATTCCTTCTCCTGTAATATCTTCAGAAAAGAGGGAACGGGTGGTAGTTGAGGAACTAGGAGTCCGAGCGAACACATTACGTTACGTTAGAATACCTGAAGTTGTAAGACCACTTCCATCACCTGTATACTTCGGTTATTGCTTGTTCTTCTCCAGAAAGAACTACCATCAGCACAATGAAGGGTTTTATTCTGCTTGTAGCTACATTCACTGCAGTTATAAATGCACAACCAGCGTATTACAGACAAGATGGTTCTTACAAGAACGTAGGATTGAATTTTGGCCACGATTTCATTTTGCCAAGAATTCCAGGAGTTGAGTTTCGGGTGTCTTCCATTCGTCTGCCCATCCCTACGTTGCGTCAGGAGTTCTTCAGAGTTCCACTTCCTGACCTTGCATATGTACAGAAAGTTGAACATGGCCACTGATACTGAATAAAAGAAAACCATTCCATGCACTTGTTTTACTAATATAGACATATAATTCTATTTATTATAATGACAAGAATCATTATTAATAATTATTACCAAATGATCGGTATATTATTATGTATAATATTCTCTCTTGCTATTTTGTTAATCAAAACATTTTAGCTTTATTAAGGATATACCGAATGTAACCGGCAATATTCCTCACCTCCAATTTTACTTAAAGAGTTTTATGCAATATCAAATGCTAATGGACATAATAAGGAAAATATACTAAATCTGCAATGGAATACAAAAAAAAAAAAATCAAAATTGTTTAGACATAAGTTAGCAAGTAGGGCATACATTATCAATTAATTAAGAAATACAAAAAAAAATATTTCTTAGTAATTTTCCAAGGTCATTTGATCGATCGATTGTGATTTGCGAAGTTCTAGCTTCGCCCGGGCCTTTGGCTATGAAATATGAAAAGGACGCGACTCTAGTCCCGAACCAATCATGAAGGTTTTTAATGCTACATTTCTTTTGTTTCTTTGTTACCCTCATCCTCTACCAACATTAATGCATTTCTTAATTAGTCAAGTAAAGGAATCTACAGTTGAATCACAAAGCTGGTCAAATAAAGTCAGTTCAGAGGAGAACACAAGATGCTGTTAGTGCTCAGCGTCGGCGTTCTCTTAGCAAGGGAAACACAAACCCTTTACCAAAGGCATGAGTTTTACATTGATTTTTGCCCATATTCCATGCTCTTGACATCATTGTTATAACCCCCTTCTGACACGGAAAACGAGACAATTATAATCTTAATGTGATAAAATATGTATAGTTTATCTTTTTATCAAGGCCATTATGGAATTAAGTCACTTATAGGTGCGATCATATGTTTGTTTGTTGGATGATGAATATTTTCTTAAAAGTTATTTTGATATTAGAAATTAATTTGTTGAGATTCATGCTCATGAAGTTGGAATGAGAAATTAGGAAAATATCATATAAGATATACTTATGAAATATGTTAATAGAATTGGAGAAGTCCTTTACCGGACTAATGGCGACGATCGCCCTTACTGATGCTATAAAGAAGCGATACAAAGCGGATATATAAACAAGTGTACTTTTATTTCTTATAAGAATCCAAATATAATATAATTGAAAGTTTGTTGGCATGTTTTCTAAATACCTTCGTATAATCACTGCTTGCCACCTGCTTTCAATCGGGGGGGGGGGGGGGGCGTGACCAACAGATGTAAACAATCCGAAAAGCTAATTGCCTCGTAAATTTTAAAATAATAAATACAAGAAAGGTTTTTGACAATTATTTAACATTACTTCAGATTGTCTTTTCAAATAGTTTCATATTAATAGATTTGTTTTGCATTGCTATAGCATATGATCTGAACAGAAAGAGGCATCGGAAAATATCAGCGAAAACGATAATGATCACACGACTGGAAATTATCGCATTCAGCCTAAATGCCAATTGTAATAAGGGAAACAAACGGAACATGGAAAGAGTGTATGTGTGGCACCTCCTTAACCGAAAGTATAGAGACCATGCATTTGAAACTAGCTATATTTTTCTCATTCATTTTACCAGTTAACTTGTACGAGTTGACCTTCATCTGATATTTGCTCACACTGAGGATGTTCTGCAGAATTCAATACATATTTCTTTCAGCCAACTGTAATTCACTGGACAAAAATTCCATTAACTGTAGTTCAGTAGACTAAAGTTTGCTCAACTTTAATTCATGACAGAACAAGATTAAGACAACAAAATAAGAGCCAATTGCCATATATAAGACTACCTTGTAACGCTGTAATTTGAAACGCGATGTGCAGTTCCGTAGATTTTTTGCCAAGGTTCGTTTCTCATATAATTTAGTCCGTAGTTCACATTAATGGCGCTACTCGGTTTTAAAAAAATACGATAATTGTTGATTTTTGGGGAAAGACAATTTGCAGAAGTTGGCAACTGTATATCACGAAACTATCAACAAATTTTGAGATCAAGTTGTATATTCACATACCTGTATCTACTCTATTTTAGGGTATATTTGGTGTGTACCTACGTTTATCTGTTTACCCGCCTAAATACTTATTCAGTGTCGTTTTACAAACATAATGTTAATTTACCAATTTATACCCATGAATACACACACACACGCACGCATGTACTCACACACACACACACACACACACACACACGCACACACGCACACACACACATACACAAACACACACACACGCACATGCATGCACGCACACACACAAATATAGATATGTAGGCAGAGAGAGAAAAAGAAGACATATATATATATATATATATATATATATATATATATATATATATATATATATATATTTATACACACATATGTATATTTACAAATTTATAAACACACAAATATGTACTTCCTTGCCCTATTGTGATTTCTATACCTGAGGATATATAAGTAATTTTATTAACCCTATTAATTCATCTTTTATATTTTTGTTTAAATTTCATATATAATTCTCTCTCCCTAGTTTTCTCCTTAATTTCAAGTAAAGAAATGAAAAACAGTGCTCTAGACTTTTAAACTTCATCTGGTATTAATGGTGAAATAACATCCATCAATATATTTCTTCAACAATATATTTATCATTTTTAAACATTAATGTGTAGGAATAAGTAAAATAAGACAAAAAAAAAAATGGGATAAACATGTTTTACCTTACAAATGCACAGAAATTTCCATATGATTAAATTCCTCCTTATAAGGTAAACCAAAACAAAAAGGTATAACAAGACAAAACCAACACACCGGAATCATGTGTTAATCAGTCTATAAAGAAAAGAATATGAGGTATTGGCACTTTATTATTAGTGTATAAATTCCTGTTTATTTACTTTGATAGCCATAAACAATCTCCTATAAATTAACATTATCAAACATATTTTCCCCTAGATAATTCTCTTTTCTCATAATCTTATTACTAAAGTCTTAGCCATTAATACAATAAATACCGAAACATGGAAAGGGAGAACCCCATACCAGAACAAATCTTTGGTATTTTCAAGAACAATGGAAGTCTTTGTATGTGGAAGATTGATTTTTGTTAAAATCTGATCTGTTTTAATAAAGCATACATATATGATGTATTTCATTAGCATATATTTAAACAGTCACCATTCAAAGTGATATATAGTGAAAATCTCTTGTGTGAATATTTGCAAACATCTTGAAACTTGACATACCATTCTTGACTGATCATCTGACGCACTGGGACAATTCTTACCAATATTTCTGGATTCCTATTTTCCAAAATATCTACTTGAATTCTTGCTAGGAGGACCAACCAAAAGACAGATTCTTATGAAAGCATTACATTCAAGAAAACTCACGGTCATCATGTCCAAGACAATGGCATACTTAAAACACACAAGATATACTATGAGAGATCCTTTGCTAAAATTCATTTTTGTAAACTACAGGGATTACTAAATTTAATGAAATATTTATGTATCTCATTACCAATCACCTAACAATGTTGTTGTTTTTTTGTTCCAATGGAATGTATACAAAAAAATTAATATGAAAGCCTTCAATGTTTAGCTTAAAAACAAATTTTTAGTGACTAGTGATGTGAAATGACTTTTTCATCTCCTTGTCATATCTACAATTCCCTTTTAATCTTATCCTTACAATAAATTATCTCCAATACTCAATATCAGTCTTTATCAAAACATCAACATTTAATACAATATATCAATTAATCATCAAGGGGTTAAAGTGTGTAAGAAAGGCAATGAGATAGCTATACAGGTATACTTTCAGCCAAATTTTGCCCACAAATTTCCATAGATTTTTCACTGTTTGATGACCAAAAATATCTAGGGGGAGTACATTCAAACCTCTTTCATTAAAACTTACCGCCCCCCCCCTTATCAATGAATCTTTAGTAACGTCCCTGTGAAGCTCGTAAAAAATGAACACCATGATATATTTATCCTTTCCTTTCTACAAAAAAAATCATACTTCTGTAACTTAGAAAATTATATTTCTGTATTATATTTGTGGGAGTGCCCATTGTTATATATTCCATTCTTTTCACTACAAGAGATTTGATAACATCAAGTGATTTCCTTAGCTAACTTGAATCAACTGCCGAACCATCTTTCACAACCTCACATTTCTATAACAAAATAGAAGCTTTTCTTTAACCCATATTTTTTTTACAAATTCATGTCCACATATTTGCTCATAAATAAAAATATCTTCAGCATATGCACCTTCTGCACAATAAAAACAAATTTACAGTGCTTATCATAAATAGATTAGAAAATATTTTGTATTGGGAGAAGTTTGACCATATTCTTTGAGTTACATTTACATGAAAAGAAAGAAAGATGTGAAAACACTTTGATCAACATTCAAACTTTAAGGACATGAAATAAATAATAATAATAGCAATAATAACAATAAGAATAATAATAGTGCTAATGATAATAACACTAATAAATAAGAACTAACTACTTATCATCCATGAAAAATACTAATTAACAATATTTTGTTAATCTTGAATACATCTCAATTTCTGCAAACAAATGCACTGGAAAGAACTGGATATTTATTAAATAAAATAAAATAAATAAATGAATAATAAAAAAACAACAACATTATACTCCAGCTGCCACCTGTCGTTGTATTCTTTGCAAAATGCGATGGTCTAACACCTTTTGTCTAAACACTGTTGCCAGACCTGATACCAGCCCAACAACCCCCATGACTGTCTCAAAGATCCAAAAGTGGCGTTCTTCTAACCACACCACACGGTCACATCTGTAAAGAAAAGCAATTGAGTAATGTTAAAAAATATATGTATGTGAAAATACTAAAATATTTTTCAAAGCTAACCAGGAGGATGCAAGATTCTCAATACTTTTTTTCTGTTATGAGTTTTGAGCATTAATGCATTGAAAATTATATATACACATTTCTGAGCCTACTTTTGTTTCTAAAAAAAAGTACTATAGAAGTTATGGATATCTGTACTTATTATAAATCATATAAACATAACAGAAAGTAGCACATGCACCATATGAAGTAAAATACAAGAACATAACAGACTGTGTATAACAGAGAACGAAACGTGATCATCTTACTTTCTGAAAACTTCTCCAGTCTTTTTGCATTTTATTTTTTGGCGATAGCTCGCTGACCCACACACCGTTGGACTTCCACTTTTAGTTTCAAGGTCTGCAATGCAATTTATAATGCATACATCATACAAACACGATACCAATGAATTTTCCAGACCCTCTACAGGTATTTCTGATGTGTGATGAAAAAGTATCCATAGAATACAATGAAAAAATATCCATGAAATACGATGAAAAAATATCCATGGAATACGATGAAAAAACATGCATGGAATAAGATGAAAAAATATGCATGGAATAAGATGAAAAAATATCCATGGAATATGATGAAAAAATATCTATGGAAACAGAACACCCTAATATGACAAACATACAAGTCTTGCGAATGAATTATGTGAAATATAAGTAAAAAAATATGAATATTCATATTCATATTTTACCAATATTTTTAATCTAACTATAGTACTTTGTTATTATAAAAAACAGTACTATAACCTATTTGTTCCATTACTAGTTTTTAACTGTCATTTCCTCTATTTATTAAACTACCCTCTTTTCATAAGAAGAAGATGCATTTAACAGGCTGTCAGTGATATATATCTGAAATACAATTATGTTCTTTGCATTCAGCCAATCATCAATAACCTCTCAAGTGTATCTTTGCCTTGATAAAAGAGGGTATTGTGACAAGATTTCTGCACATTAAAAAAATGGAATTAGCTATTCCTTGCTCTTCACTACAATTGCAAATATCTCTTATATTTCACTGTTAGTAAATATATAAATGAATGAAAGAATGAATGATCGAAACTTAAAAATAAAAAATAAAAATAAAAGATCTTACCTGAACATGGCTGACACTCTTCAAGCTCACTAAACTCTTCATGAAGGTAGCACATATCACGCTGCGTCATGTTGGGGTGAGCAGTGGTGTGGGTGTGGGGCCGTGTGTCATTAGGAGCAAGCTCATTCTCAATAATCAAAACAAGCACTGACAAACTGTCAAAATAGAACAAGAAAAAAAAGTTATTATCTCAAGTAATGATGTGTATGGCATATAAAGAGCACACATCATGCCAAATATACAATGTACGATTATGCCGTGCACATTGTGGTGCCAACACAATCCCCCAGCAGTGGGGCCCGGGCCACTATGAATACAGCCTGGGAGAGAGGGCTTTCACATCAGGAAACCACCTGGCAGCATTGGGTTAAGGTGGAAGTTTCAAAAAACACCTTTTTGTGCTACTCAAGAGAAATAGGGCTTCATAGACCTTTTTGGTATAGAGAGAAAGGTTGAGACTACAGATTATTTGTCATTCTTATTTTTCAATTTTGCATGAAGGGTTAGAGCCTCCAAAACCATTTTCTTCATACTCATTTCTTGTTGAAAGTCCATGTCCTACACTGTTTTTGGGTATTTCTAAAAAATATCTTAGTATAACTGATCACAAAAATTTTGTTGTTGATGGATTCCTCTCACTCTCTACTATCAAAATACATCAAAATTATGCCCACCCACCCCATTTGCAACAATCTTGGCCCCAATAGAAAGGCAAAATATGAATAGAATACTGTAAATATGTAACCCTAATAATAATAAACAATGAAAAAGTCACTGACATGTATAATCCAAGGGGCTGTGTCACCTGTGACCCCCCTGAGGGGCCCCAACCCCTGCCCTGAAAGACAAAGAATCCACTACATAGGTACAACATGAGAGAATCACCTTTCCAGCTCAGCAGCCTCTATCATTATCAGAATCTGCCATTTTGTAGGCCTTTAAAAATTCCTATTTTAAGTAGCAGTGAAGACTTAGGAAATAACAGTAATTACTACTGGAGGGAATTAACCCAATACCGCCAGGGAAAATGAAAAAAAAAATGGGGAAAATGTGCCTATTATTAATGTTTTTCGTGAAATGTCTGCCCATAGATGGCTCTGCTAGTGCCTGATTTGAAATGGCAGGAACGTATTTTTCACTAGTAATATGAATATCGATGGTGTTATTTCTGTCATAAACATTATAATTATTATAATGTTTTTAAACATTAGTAACAGCAAAATAAGATAAAGTACAATAATTCGTAAATCAAAGAAAAAGGAAGGGTAAACGGGCGAGACGGGCAGTACTCGTAACTGGCTCATTGGTGATTTAGTAAAAGTGTTGCCATCTATGTGTAAA